AGGTCAAAGAACGGTGTCAGAAATATCAACAGATCTCAAAGTACCATAACCTACAGTCTCCTGGATGATTGGGTATATCGCGCATGGTATGATTTCTCTATAAATCATCTGTGTAGTGACTGGGAGCAATTCTTACAACACATAAGCAACAAGCATATAGTATAATTTCATGTTCGCAATGTTTTTAGTGCATTTTTTAATGATTATGCGACTTTATGGCATCTGAATTCTGATGGGTCGTTCGAGGTTAATGTGGTTTTGGCTATGATAGTTTAACTTTGCCCAAGAAACTTTATTGAATAGTGATATTCACTAAGATTTCTAGTGACTTCATAAAATGGACAAAGATGCCTGTTTCAATGGTATGTTTGCATAAAATTAAAAGTAAACGTGAAATAACATCAGTAAGAGAACCATTGAAAACCAAATACAATTGATCAGCTGCTTCGTCCCAGTTTGGGATTCTTCATTGGTGTAAACTGCTGGCGTTGCTGGGGATCGAACGCAAGACCTTTAAGCTACTAGGCGGGACCACTAATTATTTATCCGCTGGAATGGAATCTAATGGCCCATGAATAACATTACTGTTATAAATGAAGCAGCTATTTTTCTGATTTTTAACTAGAAATTTAAATTAAACGGAAAGAAATTCAATATTTCTCTGAACTTATATATCTTTCTAAGGAAATATGGTGTATAGGCTCATGTCAATTTTTAGTAATATGCTCCTAAAGTGATTACTTCCTTAATATAGTATTATTCCTTCAGGTTCCGTGTGGAATGCTGCGCTTCAGTTGCTTACTGCCATTTCACTCTATTTCTTGCTGTCTTTTTTCAGTTGGCTGCACAGTTGACCATAAGCTTTGTTCTTCTCCACACACGATCTCCTTCATATCACCCTTGGATGGTCAGCTCCTCGTTTCCCATTCGACTTCCACATGAGGGCTTGTCTGGCTCGTGATGTCAGTCAACGGTCATCACAGAGAGTAAACATTCAAACTCATTTTTTTCGGCAAAGATTCTTGGTTAGTTCGTTGCCATTATCCCTCATTTCAAATCCATTCTGGCCGGTCATCTGACCTTGAGTATGGAGCAAAAGTAACTGTTGATAAAAGAGTGAAGACTGTTGGAATTGCTTTCCTCGAGGAGGTAAGTTTCTGACCTATATAGGAGAAATGACTCAACATTTGCGTTGAAAATCCAAATTTTGCCCTTTATGCTGAGTGCAGCACATTTTCACTTTGGTTTTCGAGTAATGAAGACTTACCCAGCCTTTCCACTTGTGCTTAGCTTTAATATTCTTATGCCTGCCATCTGTAACTCAAACGATACTGCCCAGATAAGTGAAAGAGATGACTTCATATTAAGCAGGTTTTAAAGTTATATGCATCCATATTAATTAAAGAATTATTCTTATCAACAACATTAGTGTTTTTTCAATAACATCGACACAATAAGGTCAAAATATTACACTTCAAAACCACCTGTAAGTCATAATGTGCATAAATATGGAATCAAACTAAATATCAGATACCGCAGCAGGTCTGAGTAGTAATAGTAGTGGCTAAACCTCTTTCTTTTGCACACACAGCTCCGGTTGTTTCAAGCGTCATACTGATGCATATTATCATATGTGGATACTTTAAAACTGTAATGCTCTAATCTTAGTGAATCAGTGGTATTTAAGAAGACATTAATGTTGTTAATAACACCAGTTCTTAGATTATTATGGATGCATATAACTTTAGAACCTGATGAAGACGGAGTCATCGCAAAGAATATTCTTTGCTGTTTAATCCCAGTCTTTTGTGAGCCTGTGGCACAACCACACATGTGGTTTGGGGTTTAATTCCCGGCCAATGCACTCCTTTACCTCGTTAAGCCAGTAATAAAACTGGTAAGAAGGGAAGGTTGGGTATGAGGATAGCAACCCCATCCCGTAAAAATAAATACCACTTCGAGCCTCTAGCTTGAAGTAGCTCTCTGTTCCACTGGGAACGTAAAGGAATAAAAAGAATCCAAGTCTTTAAAAATGTTTAAGAGACACCCTCAATAAATTAAATATATTTAGACAGTAAAGTGGCGGCAGATCAGGCTTGAATAACCTTATTTATGAGGTCTTACAATGGATAACTTGATTTTAACATTGTTTCTACCACAGGTTGATATCTTTTACAGAACTATCAAACACAGAATTAATTCATCAGTGAGTGCAAATGACAGAGTCAGGAGCAACTTAGACATTTACCAACTAGTCATAGTAAGGCACAGTTTCGTTAGAATCCTAAGAAAAACCAGGAGATGATAAAGCATTGTATTCCAGTCAAATAGTGGATATTGACTTGATGAACCTTGGTTACCTTATTCATTGTGTTATGGGTGAACAGTGATAAATTCTACAACTTCTCACTAGAACTCTAGGCGATTTTGTTCTAAGGTTAGGGTCATTAGTGGGCACCCGATTAGTTTTTGAGTGTTGGTTTGCAAAAATTTGATTGATTTCAGGTTTTATCACGGAATGACTTCAGTTAGAGAACCACCGAAAACAGGGAATTACTAGCCAATTGTTAAGTCTCACTTTTAGACCCTGCAGTAATGTGCACACATGATCACACTGGTGATCAAAATAAGCAGTTCTTAGTTACAAGGCCAACACATCGACTACTAAACCACTGAGGTACAATATAATAATTCATGAATTATTTCCTCTGCCTATTCGCAATATAGTATCAGTGTGTCCACTACTCCATGGCTTTCAATGGCTCTCTAAATAAAGTCAGTTCATGACCTAACCTGAAATTAAACAAAATACCACAAAACAATATCTGAAAATAATAAGTATCTTACAATAAAGAGAAAAACTGAGACAGTATTCTTCGATATGCAAAGTAATAAAAGTTGTTTTGAATTTAGGATTTAAACAAGGATTAAAATATATATGTCCAAACTAAGTTCACTTTTAACGGTTTTAAAAAATTTGGGCATTGGGTATACGATATTCATTATAATAAAGGTTTTTGTATTTCCCAATGAATGAAAAACAAAACGATATTGTTTTTACTGATGTTTCGCTATTTAATGCTAGTAGCTTTATCAAAGTATTTTTAAACCGGAATTTGCAAAATCTCAGCATATATATAACAAAGAGTTAAGAGGTGAGAAAATAGACGTAGGTCAAGTTAAAGGGACATATTGAAAGTCAAATAGCAATGAAGATCACTAAACCAAATAACAAAGGTAATAGTGCATCTGTTATGATATCAAAATAAAGTTTACTAACTTGTTCATCATTCGTCTGTCTGGGGGCATTTTTCGTTATCAAGTTGGTCAATTGGTAAAGATAACAAAATCAAGTGTGGATTGTTGGATTTGATCAAGGTGTAAAATTTGCATTGCTATTTGACTTTCAATATGTCCCTTTAACTTGACCTAAGTCTATTTTCTCCCCCCCTGACTCTTTGTTACATTCTATTTGTAAATTCTGGTTTAATAATACTTTGATAAGGCTACTAGCATTAGATAGCGAAACGTCAGTAAAAACAATATCGTTTTGTTTTTTCATTCATTGGGAAATACAAAAACCTTTATTATAAGGATTAACATATGTGACAAAATAGAATTTAATCAACAGTAAAACACCTTCTTTTATGTAGGACCAGATTTCCTAACATTTCCCTGTGTAGTAGAGGCAGTTGAATGAAGAGATATTCACTGCGACTTGAAATTCTGTTAATGCATTCATGTTTAGTTTTTTAAGGACTAAAGTGGATCCATAAGATACTACGGATTGATTGACATGAGTGGTTAATTATCACTGATATCTGATAGTATGAATTTATTCGACTGCTAAAGCTGGTAAACTCTATTGATATTTAACATTTACACATTTTCACATACTCTGCCAATGATATTTAGAGTACTATCATACTAGTGTGAAACATAATACATATATATGAAATAGTAATAACTTTATATAATTCATCTTTTTCACTGAATCTCATTAGTGATGACAAAATCAAAGTTGTACAGAGTATTTGCTTAAGTCACTTTTTCATTTCCCTTTGGCTAATTATGCTAAACTAAAATATTCGGTCTCTGCTGCCATCCCACCTCCTGGTGCGGATGCTTTGATGATGTCGCAGGACTAACATGATGTTATTTGGCAGATGGTAACTAGCAGTGGAATCCATGATGCAAATTTCATCCTACTTGGGACTCGTTAGCTGGATGTGCCTGAGACACCCAATAAGTGATAGTGTTCCCACTGAGACTCGAACCCAGCACCCACCGTTTGGCCTTATCCACTAGGCCACTTAGGTCACAAGAAATACAAAACTATCTTAAACAAACCCATTGCGCAAAACATGGCTTTTGTGGTCAAAATAGTTTGGTGGATACCTCTTCGACATTTGAAAAGATGGGTTGAAGGTTCGAGTCTCAACATAAATATCACCATCCATTGAGGATTGTAGGTACATCCAGATGACAGGTCCCAAATATGATAAATGGGATATCCTTGGTCTCAGTTTTTTAACCATCCACTAAGCAACGTCTTGTAGACAGTATCTTTTTAAATAATCTAAATCCCTGTGTGATCAAAAGGTTATAAGAAAAGTTTACCTAACTTCTCAGCAAGTCTAATCAATTTTATGTTCTTCACCGATAGCTTGGAAAATAATGTCAATGAAATCATCATTTGCAGCAAACAAACAGTTGAATGAAAAATCCACTAATGTTAAAACCTACAAGTTATGTGCCGTTTAAACGTGAAAAAAGTCCAAGGAATATTCGACAAAGTATAAATTTAATATCGTGAAAATATTCTGTGTTGTCGATGTGCTTTTAAGTAGTGTATATCGACACGAAGAAAATCTGTTTAATTAAATTATTTTTTATGACCCTTGAACATATTTAAGTACAGAGCATAAATTTACATATAAAATTTCTTCGTTATTAAAGAAAAATTTAAGATAACAATTAGGAGCTGTTTCGGAACTTACTTTTACAAAATTGTTGATTATGACTTGGACAAAATGTTCGTAAAATGTGAAATAATGTTCTTCAAAATGAATAATCCCGATAAATTTGCATTTCTTCCATTTAGATCTTGATACGCTATGAAAATGAGGCCAGATAAATCATCAGAGATGAGATGAGAGTGTAAAAATGCAAACCCAAGTTTTGTACTATACCAAACACCAAGTGGTTTGAAATTGAATCCAAATACTGTCAAACTATTTTGAGTGAATTATAGTTCCTATAAAATAAGAATGGGTGTTCAACAGTCAAAACCGTAATATTAATTTTAAATAAGAAATATAATTTAGGGCAAAATCAATAAAAAAATACTACACAGTACCTATTTAGTTCTTGGTTATTTTTTCACAGTCGTCCTTAACAGAAATCAAAAATAAGATCAGATCAAACAATAGCAGTGAAAAAGCAAACCGAAATTTATGGATACTTTCTAAATTTGTGGATTCACTTATGCATTAAAATCTGTCCAAGAATCCCTCTAGGTGTAATCTCACATTAAAACAGTATTAACATTCTATTATATTGCTACTGTAATGAATTATTTCAGATAATCACTATTACTTGTAGAGAAAAAGAGAATCAAAGCCACCTGCTTCTCTGATTAACAAGACATTATTATACCGGTCTTTGGTTTACGTAATGAACACAAAAAACAAAAACTAGCACTCAAGAGTTGAAACCGAGGAACTACATCAAGTGCACACTTCAATAGTTTAAGATAGACTCAGTGCTTCAAAACACATCACAAGTAAAAACTTTCAATACAGCTATAAAAAACACGTTTAAAATAGATAAACTACGGGAAAAACAGAAAAGAGGATGCCGAAACTGAATCGACAAACAAACACCATCGGTTACAGTCCAAGAAAAATAAGGAACGACGACAGAGCACCTGCACAACACGTTTTATCTTACATAGGTAGTTGACAGAAAATCTACGCGATAGTCAATACGAGTACACGCAGTTATTCCTTGCAAAATGCTGAAGTAAACGTAATATCAGTCATATCCATGTCCGAATAACAACTAACTGATCGAAATAATGTTCGGAAACAATTGCATGATGTAAGGCAAACACAGAGGAAAACAAGATAACACTTACAAAAAGGAGCAATTAATTATTTTGTCAGTATTAGACAGCCGAAGTAGCAGTTTCGATCATCGGTACTACAAACAGTTACGCATTAGCAGCTGACCATTAAGACGACGAGAACGAACACGAGGAAAATATACATAGATTCACCAGAAATAAACCACACAGAGAGATACGACTTAAAAACAAAAAAATACGGCAGAAAACGCTTTGACCTCTTTACTGAATGACGGAAAAGCAAAATGACAACGTGGCACGTTTGAGCCCACCAAGGAAAGGTTGGTGGTCAGTAGCTACTAATGAATATGACAAGAACACAAAAAACAGTCGTAAATTTTGAATGGTAGAAAGTTGAATAGGAGTTCACTATTCTGGTCATCACTGCTGCAGAGAGTGAAGTTGTCTCAAAAACATTACTAAGCGAACTGCTATGTAACGTGAGTAAATGAATATGACAAAAGAGCAGATGCACCGATACAATTAGTGAAAAATCCAGCGAATGCATATAAATAAATAAACATGATGAGAAACAAATAACTGCTCTTGGAATAAGACTCATCAACTCAGTAAATTCCCGAAGTATATCTACTCACAACACCTGTAAAATCGCATACGACGTGTCACAGAAGTGGAATAAATGAGTAAACTTATCGCGAACACAAGCGCAAATGCTCTCATGTCCGTCAACTACAGATCTTATTCATCAGGAAAGATAACCATCCTAACCTCGTCAAACAATGATTCCCAGTTTTGAAACAGCTTCAAAGTGTAAATCTCTAAACAGTAATAGTTAGGGAATTACATTAAAAACTGAGTATGTTTTATCTTAATATGATTAATCACTAAAAATACAGACCAATATAACAGAAAGTAACGAAAGTACACACTGACCGAAAACTCACGAAGACATGTGAAATTTTTGAATATGCTCCCGGATTTCAAGGTCTTTGGTTAGCAACTTCTTGTGTGATATAACAAGCAACCAGAATTGAAATATGCTACACGATACACTGTCCCGTAAGATAACGCTAATTTATAGTCATTCTAATCGTAACTTTGGCGTCAACGTGTTACTGTTCATACTGCATATAACATTAGCTATAAAACGGGACTGAGAACTTTAGGTTCAGAATTCAGATTTTTGCTTGGGGATAGAAGTCTGGAAGCCTTGCTAATCACTTCCTACTGGGCGTCTCTGCTTTCTTACACCCGCCTTCACCGAGATGACTGAAGGTGCAGATACCATTTCTATGAGTTGGTTTCAAGACTTAATGACTGAATGTAGGACTCAGCACTCCACAGTGATCTTTACTGCTCTCACAGTGCGTCTCCTGAGTTGTTTCGTTCTGATGGGATGGAAAAGAGAAGGTAGACCAGGTTTGTAGTTACTTTTGAAAAGTCTGTACCTACCTGCTAATGCTAGGTTAAGGGGAAGAGATTTAGTCTTTGTAGTAGTCCTCCACATGGAGAAATGCATGTTCTTTGAACTCTTTCCGGTACGTGGAGGTCCTTTTTCAAGCAAATACTAGCTACTTGTGCGAGATTTTCTAATTTGGACCTCATTAGTTATGGGGTGAGGATAAAGGCTATCGCGATGTATTTTCGGGCATTGTATGAGTTATCGTGTACATACCTAAAGAGGCCTTATAAGCGTTTATTTTTGTGAAAATGGAGTAAATTAAATTATATTTAGGCTCCTGCAGTTGAAGAGAGACATATTTTGCTTGTAGTTTTTTCGTATTAATGGGTAAAATTGTCTTGATATCCCAGACGAAGAAAGCGTGCACTTAAAGAAATTATGCATATAAATGACTTTTATTTTTGTTTGTGAGCCTCAAAAATTTGATATTTGCTGGTAGATTTTAGATTTCCAGACTGTAGATTGACTACAGTCAGTGGTTAATGTCATAGCAGTAATTCCATAAGATGTGGGCTTTTAATAGAGAGTAAGCCCACATACATAAGTCAGATATCTGTTTTGAGGAGCCTAAGAATTTTTATTTTCATGAGTGATGAGTGAAATCCTTCATAACACATCCAAGAAATCATTTGGTGAATGAGACGAGCGGCTGAAATTTGATAGTTGAAATCACAGAGAAATGCTGTCATAACTACAGAAGGAGAAGAAAAATGAACCGTTGTGAGAGGATGTAATGAAGTAAAAAATTATGCGACTTTTATATTCCTTTCTTCTAATTGCAGTACCACCAATGGTACACTTCATTCGTTTAATTTTAGAAGTCCAGCAACACCAGTCAACCTGGTCACAGCAGTTCAATACAGGCGAAATAATTATAACTAACAGTTGCATACAGAGTATCACTTGTTACTATTTTTCATTAAATTTAAGTCCCATCCTGCTAAGTACATTTGTCTTATTCTATTTCAGTTGAATTATTGCTTCACGTGAAATATATGCAAAAATTCAACGCACAACGCAGCAGCATTATTTAATGTAGACACCCTACTGATAATGCGCTTTATTTTGGTAAGTGTAACTTACAATTCTGTCGACATTTCCAGGGATGCTAGAATAGGTGTAGAAGCAGCAGTATTGAACTGCTTTTGAATGCATTTACCCTATGACGCACTAATACTAACCGCAGAGACTAACTTCTATCCTAAGATTTGAAATGTAAATGATTGACTGAAGTCCATATGAACCGGTTATGGACACACGGGATTACACTTGCGTATACTTTCAAGTTCTCACCTTAGGAAGTACCGGTCTAGCATGCCGTGCTACCACCGCGAGTATGTGAAGTCAAAGACAAAAATGTTTATAGGAAAAGTATATTTTTATTTCAATAAAAATTTAGTTTATTCACATAATAAACCGCCGCATTCTTGTGACCATTTCTCTTGCTTAATCTGCTGCGACCCTGTCTCCAAATTTCTCGAGAATTTCGGTCATGTAGACAAGCATAAGCCTGGTGTTAATAAAGTATTCCTCAAAAGGTTTTTGTAGGACAGCTGCGAACATGCTTAAAGGCGCGTGTGAATCGCGTGACCATGTCAGTCGTTGGCACTTCTGTAGCACATGATTAACTACAAATGGTAATATAGGAAACGTAAACATAATTGTGAACATAATATTACAGGACTGTTAATGACAGTTCTTATATGCTTTTTATAGTGAAAGTCATGTACAAATGCAAAAGGTTCTGAATAATAATAAGTTAAGTACCTAAGGTTGTTAGTTAATTGAGAGATTGTCATCATAAATTACAAATAGAAGGTAATAAAAGGACCAATTATTTGGCTATATATGAAAACCCAAATATAACAATTTAAGTGATAGTGAAAACTACAGAAGAATGCTGTCATGACCAAAGAATGAGAAAGGAGAATGAACCTTTCTCAGCAAAGGTGGGTAAATATAAAGCGTTTAACTTTTATATTACTTTTTTCTAACTGCAACGAATTCAACATACACTTTATTCATTTATTTGTAGATGTCGGGTTACGTCAGTCAACCTAGTCACGGCAATTCAACATCGCCAGAAAAATTACGAAAACAATTGTGTAAAGACATTTGCTTGAGATTAATATTCATTAAATATATTTAAAATCCTGCTTACTATACTTTCTTATTCTATCTGAGTGAAAATAAATTTGTCATCATGACGAGATGGAGGCTTGACTTATCAATGAGACCTGAGAAGGTAATTGGTGGCATAACTCAGTGTACGTGCAATGTTGCTAAGATCGCTACAGCTCCATCTACTCAATTATTCGTATCGCGTAGACTTCATTTTGCACTATACTTTAACACCCGTAATCATATGGATTGACATGACGCTTTAAGTGAAATAAGAGTAATGCACTACTTTTAAATGCACTTAATCTTATACGAAATCGAACTCCACCTCAAGGGCTAAGTTCTATTCTTATTTTTCAAATACAGAGCTTAGGTTTTTTCTGTAATTGGTCCCTACAGATTTGACTATGGCTAGGAGATGTGGTCGTGAAACTTCAGGCAGATGTTTAGACTTGACTTAAGTACTCATAACTCACCACTTTTACTGAACGATAGTGTTCATACAGAATTACTTGCGTATAGTAACGATTTTATATCCTAGGGAGTACCGGTCTAACATGCCGTACTCCAGCCGCATGCAGATCGAATGGAACACAAGAATGCTAGATGATAAGTTTTATTTCACTGCAACGCAAACAAGTTTATTCACATGTATATAGGCTGAGCACAGTCCAGGATGAAAGTATTTGTTTGGGAAGTATCTTCCATTATTCCACAGAAACCGTTCAGTATCCAAATTGCATCACGTTTAAATTCTTTCACAATTCAAGCAAACAGAACTGGACGTCCATACAAAGTTATCCGGTATCACAGACTGGAACAAAGAGTATCTGCATGGTTATAACTGAATGAGTAAACTTACCTTCCTTTGCTGTTGTATGTATAACCAATTCCTAAAAGCGGTTATGCAAATGTATCTGGTCATAAGTCGTAAAACACTCGCCTGTGTATTTCGGAAATCTTTGTCTGAATGCGACTACATCTGCTCCCCGGTGAATTTAACTAACTGAGAGAAGTAATTACGACTCGACATTCCTAAAATTGATACAAGTTAAATTCGCTTACATAAAATACGTACTTGCATGATCTCTGTGAGTTCGCTTTTCACAGCTGTACTCATTGCCTAGTTCACCACAGTCAGGAATATCACCGGCGGTTATAGGGAGTCCTTTTTACTGCAGTCTTCCTTCAGAGTGTTCACCGAGTTTTCCCCTATGTGTCACCTGTCTTACGCCATTGTCAGACAGCTATTGAGTGATGTAGACAGAAGTTTCGGGCCGAAGCAGTATTCAAATCACTTCAGAGTCAGCATTGTCTGAGTTCTTTCCAACGTCTACGATGCAGGTGTAGAGATTAGAATGGCTTTCTGTGCTTTGTTCGATTATGCTGCGTAGCTTTGTAATCTGATAAACACATGATTTGTTACCTAACGTATCGCCCGGATCTTACAGAAACATGCTTACATATCACTTTTCGCACAGGTTTAAGCTGCTATTCCTATTGATAGGGTACACCTTCTTCCAATCTTTAGGTACCTGTCGCTGCAAATATTCTGCAGTAGTGCCATGAGCATGTCTGCTTGGGTCTCTGTATCCGCCTTCAATGATTCTGGAGGAATTTTGTTTGGTCCTACTGCCCTCTGGGCTATCAACATCCTTAGCTCACCCAAGACTTCTGCTTTCATAGGAGTACCGGCGTCCACTGGCAGTTCTGTGGCTGATGGTGTTGTTTCTAGGCGAGTTGGAGGTTACAGTCGTTTATTGAAATCATCAGACCACTGTTTCCTTTGTATCCTCTTTGGTAATTAGGTTCCCATTACCATCATTTATTGGTTGCATATGTGTTAATGTCTTCCTGGATGGAGACCCGATCACCCGATATAATGTATCGAGGACTCTCACCTGCGCCTGCCTGTTCTGCTTCGTTTGTCAGCCAGTGCTTCGTAGAATTGTTTTCTGTCTTTTCTTGTGCTGTTCTTCACTTTTTTATTCGGTGAGAAATACACTGAACCAAACCTCTCCTTCGGTTGTCCATCTTTGCATTAAGTCAACTTCTCTTTCACCATTTTCCACTCTTCTGTTAGCTCCCAGGCGTCCATTGTCAGTTATTTCTTGTCTTGCCACTTCTTTCTTTCCAAAATTCTTGCACTTATTTCCTTGAACATCGCCTTTAGAGATTTCCGGTGTTCTTACACGCAGGTTTCCTCAGTGATGCCACATGGTGTCTCCCGCTATTCTTTGATGTCTGCATTGAAGTTGTCCTTAAAAGTTTCACCCCTCAATCTCTGTATATTAAACAAGAATTGTGGTCTACCTCCTGGTGGATTAAAGGCTTTCACCTTGACTCTGAAGCGTCCTCGCACCAGATGATTAGCATAGGCTTCCAGACTTCTATCCCCAAGCAAAAATCTGAATTCTGAACCTAAAGTTCTCAGTCCCGTTTTATAGCTAATGTTATATGCAGTATGAACAGTAACACGTTGACGCCAAAGTTACGATTAGAATGACTATAAATTAGCGTTATCTTACGGAACAGTGTATCGTGTAGCATATTTCAATTCCGGTTGCTTGTTATATCACACAAGAAGTTGCTAACCAAAGACCTTGAAATCCGGGAGCATATTCAAAAATTTCACATGTCTTCGTGAGTTTTCGGTCAGTGTGTACTTTCGTTACTTTCTGTTATATTGGTCTGTATTTTTAGTGATTAATCATATTAAGATAAAACATACTCAGTTTTTAATGTAATTCCCTAACTACTACTGTTTAGAGATTTACACTTTGAAGCTGTTTCAAAACTGGGAATCATTGTTTGACGAGGTTAGGATGGTTATCTTTCCTGATGAATAAGATCTGTAGTTGACGGACATGAGAGCATTTGCGCTTGTGTTCGCGATAAGTTTACTCATTTATTCCACTTCTGTGACACGTCGTATGCCATTTTACAGGTGTTGTGAGTAGATATACTTCGGGAATTTACTGAGTTGATGAGTCTTATTCCAAGAGAAGTTATTTGTTTCTCATCATGTTTATTTATTTATATGCATTAGCTGTATATTTTGACTTGTTTTATTGTCCTGATTATTATTTCTGTTACTTTAGGATGGCAATTTACGATCTCTTTCACATTCAGTTTGTATACGAGTACATCATGTTTTTGATTTTTTTTTTTAAAAAAATATTTACTCATCAGGATAAATTTTTAAATTTTTCTGTTGATTTAATTTCGGCTTTTTGTGATAGAATATCTGTTTTCAGACACGCTACCTCAAGGTGATAGATTGTAAATTGTTGCTTCTTATATTTAATTTCTTAATGTCAATGCTTTAGAACGACAGGGGTTACTGATAATTTAGTCGTCAATATGAAAGTCAACAAAGTGTATGTGTGTATGTCATAAAAGAGTTTGGGAAGTGACAGTAAGCCAGGCAACTTAAACGAATATGTTATGGTTTGTTTTACGTCTTTCTTTTTCTGATTCTCCCGTTAATGGATAGAGACATGTCGTGCTACCTATAAAGTTATGTATTTTAGTTTTGTGGAAAATGAATTTGAATGGGTGAATAAGTAAATGACTTCAAACAGTTTGGCTTATGAGATTGACTTAAATCTGTATTCATTCACGACAGATCAGATTATTATTCAGTCACATTGTTGATCTGTAAAGAACCTCTATTATGTCTCATAAAATGTCAAGTTTTTGGAAGCAGAAAACATTAGCGGGTTCAGAAAACTTGTTTGCATTCAAAAGAAATTTAAACGCACAGTAAGCTTGGGTTGCTGCTTTTAAATTCAATTTATAGTAGTGATGTTTTGACTCAGTTGGCATTTATAAATTCTTCTTATTTCTCATCTTTCACAACATTATCGAATTGCTCAAGTTTTAATTTTTCCTTGGAAATATCTTGATTAACTTGAAGGCGTTCACACTATTTGGAGTAAATAGCTGTGAGAAGTGAATTGATTAATTAACATTTTTTGTTTCAAATGATGACTGAATATACATTTTATGGTTTGAATTGTATCACAAGATAGATGTGACTGCTAGTGTTTAACGTTAATGTTACTGTTACAATCAGTACAATAATTAAGCCCTGAATAAATATTCTGGCATTGTCAAGACTCAAGGAAAATCCATATTATTCAGGAAGAAAGCCTCAGACATTAAGAGACGGATCTAGTTGAACTTCTTAAAATTCAGATGTTGCATATTTTGAATGAAGAAGTGAATGAAACATAAATCATGTTACTTAAGGTTTACGTATGTCATATAGTAAAATATTTACCATATCATTCTTATTTCTAATGATCATTATTTAAGAGGAACTGCTGAACTACCCTTATGTATGGTTCAGTTTTATTCTTACTAATACGTTTTGTGATTTGGTTTGTCTTTCGGTTCAAATTTGAAGCAAATCTATTGAACATCTCATTTCAATAAATTCATACAAATATTCCATGCTTTATGAAGTATTCAGTATCGACAAAAATGCCTAATAGACAATGTAACTTCAGCCATTATATATTTTCATTCTATTTTTCAAGTCAGACACGGTATTTTAACGATTATGTATAATGGATAAAACAATTGGACTGGTTTCTCTTGTTCCTAACAGGCAATGAAATTTATTCTCAGTGACCACTGCATATTCTTTTAAACAGAGTTAATATATGAAAATAATTACTAAGTTGTATGTTCTGTACTTTTGTACACAATTATGTTTTCATTATAATGGAATTTGAGAACAGAATAAAATTATTTCGATTAATACCGATTACTCAAAGGGTGATTTTCATCGAGTAGTTGTAGCTACACCATTGTCAAATCACCAATGTTATGAGGTTCAGGGACTTAGAATGTCAGCAAAAATATCTCCAAGAGGCTTCAGAATTTTATCAACAGCTGTCCACTTTGCTCCATACTGAAGATCAAATAGCTAGAATGGGTTAGCAACAAGGAACCCTGGCAGTGAACCAATCAATACCTTATTGCCCAACAGATATGTCCGGAGGGACTAGAGATAGATTGAACACACAGAGCCGATACTGCTGAGGGACATCACGCACCAGTCACATCTTATATTGGCAACCAGATGGGAAACGATTGCTCGGGCGTCAATTCGAGGGTGATATGGAGAAGATACTGTGAGGAAAAGATGAAAGTTTATGAGCAATCGTCGAACCAGCCAAAGAGGGATTCAGAGAACACGATGATGTGGAAATGTGTTGTTGAGGCCCTTTGTTCTACTTGAGAGCCATGAAAATAATGATAAGAGTAGTTAAAGTTTATTAGAGTGATATTTAGGAGAAATTAAACAAGAACTACTTATTTTGTTGAATTTATACAGTCTTAAAAACAAATTTATTGTAAAGTGTCCATGGACAGTTTTGAATATCACGAAATTCCACGAATGATAGCCAAGATACTTCAGTGTATCGCCGTAAATAATAATAAAGCGTTATCATGGCGATCAGCAGAGAGTCGAGAATCAAGTAAGTTGGAAGAAACGTGAATAGTGTTTCCTTCTGTCAGACATCTCAGAATTTCGTCAGTGTTGGTTAGTACACATGACCTAAACACTCCACCTCAAATATATTCCACGGACTCTAAAATAATCGACATGAAAGGAGTAGGTAATCACTTGCTACACTATGACCACCAGTTAAATGAATTTAAGGAATGGAATATTCTAAATAATTGGCGGTAAAAATATCACCTGAAAAAATTAAACTAGCAGATAAAATTAGCGGTAAATATTATGCACTGATTCATCCTAAAATTCTGACTTTATATTCTATCAAAACACATTTATGTATTTATTTAGCCAGTGATAATTGAAGTTGGTTCCCTGGTAGAATGCTCGCCAGCTTGGCACTTGATACGGATTGGATTTCTTAACCTGGTCTATTTTACCAGCCTACACTTAGCCTTGAAAAGCAGAAAAGTTTAGAGTGGAGCTAGCAAACCCATCCACGGCTACTGACAAATTAAAGCTTAAAGCTATATGTCCCACTTGGAACGAAAGGCATGGAAACAAAATGGTTTGAAAGAGGAGGTGATTGAAGGTGATTTGAAAATCTGGACTGCAACAGAATCTGAACCAGTGGCAGGGGGAATCACCAGTCCGGTGGCCTAGTAGCTGAGCAATAAGACCACTCCGTTAACCAGGTCATCATTATACTACAAACACAAAAGAGAAGTCACTGTTTCGAATCCTGCCACAAGCTAGGTTTTAATTCATCTTCATACATCATCGGCTGATTCACAACCAGTCTCTTAATCCAAGGCTGTCTCAAATAATCCTACCATCAAGTATTATATATTTCCTCTAGTGAGTCAGTAGGTAGTAACCACTGTCATACTTCTAGTCCTTGGTTTTTCAATGCAGACTGAATTCTATCGGTGCAGTCTGCAGTGTTGTCACTGAGCTACATGATTCGCTGTCGTGGTGATGTTGGATGGTTAGAGGAAAATGAACAGAAGGCTGCAAATCTAAGTTTTAGTGCTTGTTACCACTCTTCACAGCAAGATGATATTCTAAAATCTTCAGGGAACTTATGTCCCTTCTGAGATTCGAACTCATCTCACCCATTGCTGAAGTCAGAGACATTGTCACTGAGCTAACTACGTCACCAGGTGGTTACCACTGTCATGCACCAGTCCTTAATTTTCGGTGAAGACGGATTCCTACCATAAAGAACATGAGTTCCTTCAAGACTGCAGATACGACATACTGATAAGTGACAAATAATACAGGTTCTCCTGTCGTCTGCCTTCTGTCAACTAAATCCGTATATGTATGTACATTAGTGTGTTGGTTTACTGTAGTTATCTTCAGAATAGTATTGCTTAGATCTGAATGAAAAGGACTTGTTCAATAGAACAAACATTCCATAGCATATAACAAGGTTTAAATACTGAACAATTCTTACAAATCTCTTCTTGATACAGTAAACATGAACAACTTAATATTATTCATCCGATTAAAAGCTTTAAAGTGTGTTAATCACAACTGTCTCTAATTGAGGTTCATTGATCAAATACACTATCTACAACATTCCTGTTTCAGTTTAGGCAATCTTTATTTCATCGATGTAAAAGGTATAATCACTGATACAAATACTCATTGCAGGTGTTCTCCAAGAGTTTTTGACTGAAAGTGTCGTTTTCAGACAATTAGTAACTTTGTTTTATGAGTATAAACTGTACACAATCATTGTTTTGATAAACTAAACACATTGAAATAAATATTTTCAATGTTGTCACTAAAAGTAGAATTTACTCAGTGTAAAAATATGTTTCAGGTTTAACAGGTATTTTTCAAAACACACAATAAAGAAACAAAAACGTCGTTATGTGAAATATTATTGACATAAGCGTTTGTCTATTCGTGTGTGTGTACGTGTGCGTGCGTGCGTGAGTGAGTGAGATGAGAATGTAGGTAAATGAATGAAGTGCATTATGGTTTATCAGTCAATGTAGGCTTTCACTTTACGTCATTCTACGTCTATAGGCATATGACTTAGTATCTAAATACGTGCAGGTGGTTTGACCTCACATGATATTGATAAAGACATGTGAAAAATTTATTCGAAATCGGTTAAACACTTACAGTACACAGCCTTTTCTATATTTGAGTCACTAAGAGATGAAT